AAGAGAAATTTAAAAAGAGCTCAGTTCTGAGAAAAAGTTTTGTTTTTGTTTTACTTATCAATTTTCTTCAGTTGCATTTTATTTATATTATATTTATTATTATATTATATTTATTTCATGTATACAAAAGTATTATATGATTAAATATGTCTAACTGTAAAACTAATCTAAAATGAAAGATGAAGGAAAAGCCCATAGTGATCAGAAAGTTGTACCCTAATCTTAGTTTAAATGGCAGCTTCTTTCTTCTTTCTATGGCACATGAAATAATGGAGCATGTCCCAGTCAATGGTATCCTAGATCCTTAAAGTGAAGTTGAGAGTGGGAGGAATGAGACTATGAACAAAGTTGTCAAGACTATGATGGGTTTACTCACTGAAACAGTCTATCTGAGCTAATTGGAGTTCACCAACTCCAGCTGGACTGGGAAGGAACAAGCATAGGACCAAACTAGTCCCTCTGAATGTGATAGGAGAGTTCAGCCAATCATATTCTGTTTTGGGGGCGTGCCGCCCTCAGGCTAAAGCCTGCCTATAAACCTAGCAAGCGCGCTTTGCTAGCCCCTTTTTTTGCTTGGCTCCTGCATCTGGACGGATCGTTTGGATTCTGGTGTAAGCTGTTGTAAGTCTTACTTCTGTTTATTAAAGCTGTATATTTTGTATCAAGATAGTCTGGGGACTTTTCATTACCAGTCGCCCTGCGGCTTCATGAATGTGGGTGACAGTTGCATGGCTGGGGCAGACTGAGGGGCCACTGGTAGTGGCATCAGGATTTATCCCTATTGCATGTACTGGTTTTTTTGAGAACCTATTCTCTTTGGCTGTATACCTTGCTCAGCCTAGATATAGTAGGGAGGGCACTGGACCTTCCACAAAGCAATGTGCCTCACCCTCTCTGAGGATTGGACAGGGGTGGGGTGGGAGGGTATGTGGAGAGAATGGGAGGAGGGGAGGGAGTGAAAACTTGAATTGGTATTTTTTTAAAAAAAATCTAATAAATTACGGGAGATGTAGAACTGGACCTTTCTTGTTCTATCCATGGCTACTGCTCCAAGCCTCTGGCCTAGCTTCCTGTAATAGCCTCTAGATTTCACTTTTTCCTTCCATAGTCATCCCAACTCCACACTCTGCTCCCATCAAGCCATTCCATTCAAAATCCCCTATGGCTCCTTAGTTTGTTCCGACTAAGATCCGAACTCCTTTAAAACTCCCCTCACTGCCTGTGGCATTCCTCACCCTGTTGCCTTCCCGCCTTCAACATTTCTCTGGGCTTTTCCAAACTCTTCCTTGTCCCTCATGGTTTGTCACAAGTGTACAGATACTTGGGCTCATAGTATTTGTCTTTCTTTCTGCTTGGAATTCTCCTATCTGCTATGATGCCAAATAATTGACTTGTGTTATCATGACCTCCTTTCACCTCTATCAAGTATCAAGTTTCTGATCATCAGTCCTTTCTTACTGACCTATTAAAACTGCAGCTCTTCTTCAGCCTCCGGCTGTCAGCTCATCCAAGTCCTATGTTCTTCCCCTTTCTTGATTAACGTTTTCCATCTCTCCTAGTATCCAACGGCATACATGCATTTTATTTGTTCATCTGTTCGTCTGAGGGTTCCTCATGCTAGTATGTAAGTCTCATGGAGAAACAGGTTCTTGCCTGTTTTGTTATTTGCTGTGTTTCTAGCACTAGGAACAGTGTCTCTTAAATGCCTACTGTTGAGTGAATGGACAGGCATCTTTGGAGGAATTATGAGTACAGCTCAAAGAAGTCATTTAGGAGGGGAAAGTTTTGTTACCACTTTTCTTTTATTTATTTATCTTCTGTATTTTCTACTCAGAAGTCCCCATGTTTTATCATAAACATAATTCATCTCAAAAAATTTCGAGCCAGACTGAAGGTCCAGGAGTATGCTAACCCACAGCCATCATAAGTCAGCAGGAGTCACGGTCTGAGAGGCACATCCTTGAGGAGCAGGAGCTTCATTTTATCTTGATATAAATTAGCTTATTTGACCCTTGCCACTCAAGGAGTGTGGTGAGAGAGACTGAGGTTGTCCTGGTAGCATTGAAACCTACAGCTACATTTGAAAGTTCTGTGGACTGCTTGCAGATTCCTAGCAAACAGGCTGGATCTGGGTCTAACAGTCTAAGAAGACACATACTACCACACATGTCAATAAAGCTTGTGAGAGGAACGAGCCTTTACATTTTAAGAATCAAAAGTAAGCTAAAGTTAGCTAATTATTTTTTCTTAGTGGTCTGAAGAAGTCAATAATTGAATATAAAAGGAGAACTGACTGTCATCACTAGAGTCTTTTCCTATGTAAAAGGAGCAGGCACTAGAGTGTCTTCTGATAAAATGGTGGCTTCCTTTTCCCTCACCAGCAGTCATTTGATAAGTTACTCCTATTTTCCTTTTTCATTCTGGCACTTTCTGCAATGGTCTTTCTCCACTCTTTTATTTTCCCTTTGTTCCCATGAGTTTTGATAACATAAGAAAAAAAAAACTTGGATATAGATTTGGAAAGAAAATGAGTTCAGTGTGGGGAATCCGAGCACTAGGAGTTGGATGTAAGCATGTGGTTGGCTTATGGCTCCTTTTGGCAAGATGTGGGGGGAGACCTGGCAGCGCTCCTCCAGAGTCTCTGGGGTGGAGCGTGCTCACCTGGCCAGCACACTGCCTATTGAGCAACTAATCACCCTTGCCTGTGGGCTGCCTTGAAGTCTGTAAATACAGGGCAGGAGATTCTCCTGGGGTGGAGACAATCTAAGCGAAGCAGCTCGGTGGGCATCTGCTACAGATTGTGGTGAGGGGGCATGCACATGCCGGGCTTTATTGATATAAATCATTTTGTCACGAGGCATCATCCGAGCTAAGGTAAATGAATCAATTGCGTTTTGTCATTAGGTATAATCATCAGGTTGTGTATTATATAATTTTCCCACTGTTGGTCTTGAGTGGAGCCCCTTTCCCTGAGGGATGCGTTTGCAGAACTGGGGATGACAGATGATTCTCAGTGTGCCCCAGTTTGTTCGCTCAGAGCGTCTCTTCCTATCCTGCAGGGGCTGGAAGCCTGCGAGTCACCGAGTGCCCCCAATAGGAGGGTGAGAAGAATGCCTGCCCGAACACTGTTCTGCCTCCGCTATGGGGACAGGAAGGCGGAGGCACAATAATAAAGGAAGACCCTCTATTCAAACAGGCTTTCAGGAGTTCCCAGGGGGCAGTTGCTGCGCACATGCCTACCAACACTTTTGGGCTTAATGGTAACTCCTGCATTTGTGCATAATGGGCACCAGTTCAATTATGGATCAATAATTAGAAAGATTCTCCCTCTTCAGCATTCCCTAGAGAATTCTGTTAGAATTGGCCTTTTAAGTGCATTTTGTTTCCATAAATCTCTTCAACCCAAATTTCAGAGGTTACAAAGGAATGCTGCGTCTGCCCATTTCTGGTTTCCATCTTCTGACTTCCTTAATTCTTCATCATATAAAAAAACAGCTACCAACATATATGACCAGCACACATGAGCAAAGAACGCTCTTGCCTGGATGTGCTTTATCAATGTCGGAGTCACCCCATCCTTCATTGTAGCTGCCAGAGTTCTTAGAAGTTTTAGTTTTTCAGAGAATCATATTTCTTCTCTTCTTCCAGGGCAGTGAAAATGTGGTGAGCTTCCTAAGTGGGCATCCACAATTCTTCATCTGCTTAGACATCCCTGGTCATTCTTCCTGCCTCTCCTCCCAAGAGGCTCCTTCCTTTTGGCAAGGTGCCTTCCCATGGCTTCACAGAATAGTTCTCCAGTGCTTCCCAAAGCACTCTATCTGCCTTTCCTCTTGACCTGCAGGTCCGTTTAAAGCCATAAACCTGCCAAATGTCAGTTGTTTTCCTCTGACTAGTCAACAAGAAAAGATAACAAAACCACAGGCAAAAATTTATTCTTATTTCCCAGGCTGTGGAGACATTTTAAAATAGATATTAGGAAATGAAGGGTTGTAGATAATAAAAACATCAAACCAGGGTCAAAATGGCTCTAAAAACCCATGCCCTTGAGCCTAGAGGCCACACTCCTTTCTGTGCAGTGATCCTCACAGAAGAGACGATTATAATAATCCACATGGACAAGCAGCTCCATGGTTTAGATACCTTGGCATTTACGCCTTCCATTCTCACAAGGCTCAACTAGGAAGGCACCCTTGGTCTTCTGAGTTTATCCATCTATCTAATTATAAATATCTAACAAACCCAGTGTTAGTCAGCATGATGGGACAGTAGAGGAATGCGTGTTGAGGCACTGGGATCAGACTCTGGGCTCAGATATTAGCTCTTTATGTGACCTGAGAAAGTCATACCATCTGGGAAGTTCTCAGTCATGTCTTCTGTAACAGAAAATTAAGACTACCTTGTTTATAAAGTTCCTAAAAAGACCACATGAGGTGACAGTGTGGAGTTCAAAGCACATTCATGTAGAATAAGCCTGTTACATGATGATATAGGGACAACAGGACACAAAGATCATTGAATGGCTTCACAAAACTTAAATGGCTTCGCCAGACTTTGGCCCAGCATTAATTCTGAAAGAACCTATTGCCAGCACTGGCCTTAGGCCACCTTGAAAATGAGGGCCATGTGACTTTGCAGTAGTAGGGGTGAGTTTGTTCTGACTTTCCCACTTTCTCTGTGATACTTTTACCAGGAATCTCAGAATACATATCATACAGGGACTAGGATAAAGTCTGTATTCCCACTGAGCAATAAATCTCAGCTGTCTCTAATGTTCTCTCCCACTGTCTCAGAAGGAAAGGGTCCCTCCTTCAGGTTACAGCTGGTGATCTGACTTGTTCCACATGAAGCCACAAGGCAGGACCTCCATTCCCTCCAAATTTTCAGATTCTTCTCCACTTCAGTAGATGCTTTATTCACCAGTTGTGGAGGGAGACCACAGTTAGGTGAGGACTGAATAACAAGTCAACAAATACCAAACTGCCCATGGCTTAGTGTCTTACATTTAGTTGCCGAGAGCTGGGATTTATACTGCCCTCGGACCAGCCGGCAGGTGGACCCATCTCCGCTGCAGACCCCACAGTTATCCTCCTTGGCGGTGCTTCCCAGCTGGTGATCACAGCCAACAATCTAATGAGAAAGAGAAATGTGTAATTCAACAAGGCACCTCCCCGTGCAGGGATCGATGGCAAGACCAATGGCTACCAAATGACACACACGGCCCTCATCTCTGAGAGACACAAGATGTACTTGACTTTAAAGGGACCAAGTTAATCGAATATGAACCAGGTTAAGGGGGAACTCTGTTGTATGGATAGAAGTATCTTTATAGTTCAAGTATAGACGTGGGAAGGTTATAGAAGACAGGGAATGGAGACTGGGAAGGACTGGGAGAAAGTAAAAACAGATCCTGAACTACTGTGTTATGAGAACCTTAGTGCAAACGCCATTCTCAGTGTCAATAATGAGGTCTCTTGCAAATTACAGAATGCACAGACGTAAGGTGACAGCAACTGGAAACATTTTATCAATGATCTCCAGGAGCTGAATGCTACTCAGAACGCACACTGCACAAGGGCTTTGCACATTGGGCTCACTATTGTACATTAAGAAACTGGAAGAGTGCCTCATCTGTAGGTTAGCATTTCTTTAATACTGTGATAGTAGGCTTTTTCAGCAACGTTTCCGGTAACACTAACACAGGTGTGTGTGTGTGTGTGTGTGTGTGTGTGTGTGTGTGTGTGTGTCAGGGATGACTCTGTCTGGCTCTTTCTTGTGTAAAGCAAAAACAAACATCTCATTAACTTTCAAAATGGTCATGAACGGTATCCCTGTTGTATAGTTGAAGTTACGTGTTTTGCCTAAGGGTCCTTGGTGAATATGTAGTCATGTTCTAAATACACTCAGCAAAGCATTCATAGTTGGTCCACATCAGGCATTAATGAAACCATACCTTTATCAAGTAGGCAGGCAAACTTCTTTGTATCTTTAATCATTTCTCACCTATGCTTAAGTCAGAGACACAAGCCAGACCCATACTGTTGTAGAATGCTAGTTTAAGATGTGTTACATTTGTTTATGCTGTGGACTATTTGTTTAATGGTGCACAGATGTGTTGCATTCTTTTATGTCTCATTTGTTTAATTCTGTGAAGCTGTGTTACTTCGCCTGCCTAAAACACCTGATTGGTCTAACAAAGAGCTGAATGGTCAATAGGTAGGCAGGAGAGAGAAATAGGTGGGGCTGTTGGGCACAGAGAAAAAATAGTTAGAAAAGCTGGCTAGAAACAGCAACTACACCATATGATAGTGGATTGCATATCCTAGAATTCTGTATTGAGCTAATGCCAAGCCTTGCCCTGCTTTGATGTCTATTCTTGGTTTTAATGAGATAAAGAAGAAATAGAGTGACATTTCAAGAGGCGCATCACTAGTCATTAGGGCTTCTTTGATCAGTTTCTGCGGAACTGTAGTAGGATTGTTTTCAACACTCACATCCATAGACAGGCCTCCACATAAATGCATCAGTATTTACCTGTACTTACATTTTAGGACATTGTGAAAGGGGGAATTGCAGAAGTACCTACTTTAAAAAGTGATTTAACCATCTAAATAACATTTCTCGAGGCTCTGCTAAGGGTCTGGTGCTATACAAAAAAAGCAGAGTTCGGTGATATAGTTAAGCATGTATGGGCCCACCTGCAGGGCATGTCTGGTCTAGCTGGGAGAAGACAATATCCAAATCGTCATGAGCCATAAAAGTAAGAGGATAATCACAAGAAGAGCTACAAATATAGACACACAGTTCCCCCAAAGCATAAAACACAGTGACTTTGATGAGAGAAACAGAGAAGATCTGATAGAGGAAGAACCTTCTCAGCTTAGAAAGGGATGGAGAGTTGGAGGAAACACTGCAGGGGCACATGTGGCTGTGACATTTACAGCACATCCTTCAGAAGTGTGGCATTCAACCTCAGCTACTAAGAAATAAGAAAACCCCAGAGGCAGGAGAAAATGGTCAGAAAACTCGATTCCTTATTGGACCTGACTCACTGAGAATGCGCGGCACATTCTGACTGAGGACCACCGTCTGTCTCAGTGCTCTGTTGCCCAGGACTGACGAGAGACAGGCTTGAGTTGACAGGATCCTCAGCTACGTAGAAGGACAAGATGGGCATGGGAATTTGTGCTCTCAGGCATCTCAAACATAACTGGATCTACTTCTTAATTTTTAGAACTTGCAGGTTTCTCAAAAGGTTTAAGTTTCTTGGAAAAATTTAAAGGACACTGATGTCTTCAATGGAACCAGGGCAGATAATCAAAGAAAGTTCTTCCATACTTTGAAGACTTTTCATGGCTCCAAAACCATGGGGAGAAAAGAACAATTTTGCTTTCTTAGATCCAAAGTAACAGTCATATTAGGAAGGGCTAAATAGGAGGGGACACATTATATGAGTAACCAGAACCCAACTTAGTGCTCTTGGAGGTGGGTCTGTGGACCCTAGGATATGAAGCAAGTCATCACTTAATTTCAATGTTTAAAACACAAATATCTCCCTGACACAATTGTCTTTCTACTTTTCCTCTGTATCAATTCCCCTATGAAGATGTCAAAATATTCTAAATCTGTTAGTTTCAAAACATCAACTACTATATCATCAGATAAAATGTTCTTTTGGTGCAAGTAGAAAATTGTTTGCACTCATATCAGGATGATCATTCCTGACATGTTTTAATCTATTAATTATGAATTACTATTAGATTAATTAAAATTTAAACTATTACTTTCAGATCTACAATTAGCAGAAAAGAAAGTAACTAGGAATGTAGAAATGGGCTGAGTTGGTAAGAATAATGCTAGAACTTTCTGTGACTTTGAGCATTTTATACTTTCTGTATTGAACCCTCCTGATCAGTTCTTTACTTGGGAGTACTCCTACTGATCCTCCAAATTCTGAATTAAGTATCTTTGGTATAAAGAAAGACTCTTCCAGAATCTAGCTCCTTTCTTTCTCAGGCTTTTCTTTATAGACAATAGAGACTATGGGTTGCCCTGTCATAGATGCATCCATGCTTTCTCTGTAATACAGGTCTAATTTTCTTGGGATGGTAATATTTTGAGTTAAAAGAAGAAGACATTTCTCCATGACCATACATTTAAATTGTAATTATTGACATATAAGTGGAAATTAAATGTGTTCTGGGAAGACTAGTTAAAGACTCTGACTTATCTGGAAGGTCCCCTACTGCCCTCTGTCTGCCTTCCTTCTTGCTGGCTCCTGTAGCCATCTTGAAAAAATGAGACAACCTTGAGAAAGCAAGACCCAGGCTAGGGATAGAGCAGCACAGAGGACAGAGCCCAGCTTCTGTACCACACTGAGACTGATTATATCTTAGCTTCCTAGCTTCTTTTTTTTCTGAGAGAACATATCTCTATTAGTTTAAACCACTTTTATTTTTGGAATATCTTTTCTACAAACCCAACTCACATGGTTACAGAACTGGTATGGAGTTTGAACAATGAATATATTTGCCTGAATATCACACTGAGGCTAATTTGGGATCTGTGCAGTTTTTTGTTTGTTTGTTTTTGTTTCTTCCTAGAGAATAAACTGCTCAGACACCATATAAATAAAAAGCACAATGTCTGATATGGGTTGTCTTTGTGAGCTGTTGATCAGCGGAGTCTCACAAGACTCCTTTCAATCATTACAGCCTGTTGCCACTGCTCTTGGCTATCCTGTGGAACACACTGTTAAAATCCTGTTGTTGAAGACACTACGTCTCTGAGTCATGAAACATGGACAAATTAAGTTGGTACTGACTTGGAAGTTTCATGCCCACTGCCTAACTTTCATAGTGCTAGAAGATTCTGTATATACTACTAGGGGAGAAATGTCTCAATCAGTCTTACCCAGCCGTGAACACTGCAATGGTGATCAATCTGGCAAGATATGCCCCCTGGTACAATGGTGGAGCAGATGCTATGAGAGCAATCAACCACTTTCTGATTGGATTTAAAGTCCACTCTACAAGGTGGAATTCATTTCTGTCATTGTTAGCTGGGATAAACCCCTTGACTGGCTCATAGGCTCTGGGAGAGAACTTAATGCTTTTATTCTAATAAATGGGCATGGTATTGTATATCTTTATATCTGCTGCTTTACATGATATCTGATATTTAAGATGCACAGTGAGTGCTGAGGAAGCAATGAAACACAACATTCCAACTGCAGTGACTGATTTGTAATTTCAATTCAGGGTAGAGATAGGCAAACGTAGTTTTCCTGTCTTTGCCAGAGTCGAAATCACTGATGACAATCATTGCTCTCTCTCTCTCTCTCTCTCTCTCTCTCTCTCTCTCTCTCACACACACACACACACACACACACACACACACACACACACACAAAGTATGTGCATTGTGTATGTATCTGTGTGCACAGAATAAAGCACATACTACAAAGGATTGGGCCATATTATACCTCTGAACTGGAACATGAACAGGAATTACTGTAAAGAGCTAGGGTTTATTAGACACTATTTCCCAAGTGTACCTTCACTTATTATTAGTAAAATGTCACAGAAGGCTATGTTCAGGTCACTGAGTTCCCAGACACACCCATTCTGGACAAGACACTAAAGTGAGATAATGACCACTCGCTATTTTGGCAGTTGCAAGAAATCTTCTGGAAAGAGATAGAATTCTCACTGAATATTTTGACCTTATGAAGCTTCTTCATATTCTGGTACTAAATATCAGATGGAGCAGGGGTCTAATCTCATCTCCATCCGAAATGACTGCACAGTGTACATGAGTTCACCAAATGTTTATCTCAAGTGCTATGAAGTATAAGACGTTCAAAAACCAATGTATAGAAAACCAAAATAGCACCAATAATGCCCTGAGGCAAACTGGTATTAAATAACCTTTTGCATGTTCATAAGCAATGAATAGACACCATGCTTGACTTTTACACTTTAAGTGTATGATGTTTCATATGCTCTCTTACAAACACATTCATACATGCAGATAGGCAGCCCTTTACTTAGGAGTAGAAAACATGGCCACAGCACCGCCAATGCTCCTTCATTTCTCAGGACTATCTAAAGGCAGCAGGAAGGGTCTCC